TGCTCGAAAGAATCCATTCTGATTATCCTAAATCAGCAATAAAACCAAAATGTTCCTGATCGCCGAAAAAATTTCAGTCTGTCGGTAAAAACCCCTTCTGTGTAAACAAGAAGACTTAGTCATCATCCTCGTTTTGCCCTAGTGACCCTTCCTCCATTGCTAATTTTTTTATCTTATTATCCATTCTCTAATCCCATATGACCATTGTATTTGTCTGCGGTAGACACCAGTTGAAATCGTTCAAGACATAAATTGTGCAGTTTTACTATATTGAATTTTCCCTGCTAGGTATTTCTATTTAAATGATTCTCGTTTTTCAATACTCATCAGTATTCGCACATTTGATACCATCATTATTTTTGATTTGCGTCCACGGTTTGACTGACAGTGACTTGCACGCAAGCTTATGGATTCGGGATGAACAGATTCAATTCTGGGTCTCAAAACTCATTTCATCCAGTCAACTATATACTTGAAGACATCTACCCGAGAACATTTTATGAGCGAACTGAGTCGACGGAAGGCACTTGATCAAATTCAACTCGACATCTGTCTCCTTTCGAAGCTGCCGGGACAGCTGTTGATTGACTGTCACCGAAGATGTCTTGATGTTAACTTGGCCTGTCCCGACATCAGTTTGAGATAATTCATCATCAATATCAGATGTTCTGTTGCTACGTAAATAGTGTTCCTGCCCGTACAACAATGAGTCTTTGAATCAGTAGGCTGGTTCGACTGGCGGTCTGGTTATCCACCTCCCAACAATTTGTTTCAAAGATCTGCCGTTGGAAGTCATTTTAAAATATGGTCTTAATTTTTTTTCAGTCTGTGGTAGCGTCGCCGTCCTGGTATTTAACCTTAACCCTGAAAAAATCAGCGACGGATCAAAATATGTACTGCCCTTTCTTCCATTCGTGCAGGCAGTTCGTCCACATCCGACACGACCTCACCACCTACAATGGATTCGCGATCGACCCGTGATTATTTGACTCGGGTATTGGTCAGTCCGTTCAAACAAATGACCTCAATTTTCACCAGTCAGTGTAATATACGGTTCTCGGAACAGTTGGATGGTATAAAACTGGTAGGTTTTTTGGATAACCTTTCTCTCTCTTCAACGCAGTGCATTATACCTTCAGTGTAATGTCCTCTTGTGCATGTGGTACTGTGGATCAAAAGATGAATACTATTGCCTTATACATGTATTGTGTTCATAAAACACTGACGTTTTTATCTTTCGTTCCAATGAGGAGGCCTTTGCTTCGAAAATTTGGTGAAAGCCACCGACATACAGAATTGGAAAGAGAGTGATAAGTATGTATTTGGATGCGAATCGCGGTGACTATCTCCAATAAATGAAATCTATAAGTAAAGTGAAAAAATGAAGGAACGATTATAGTGGTAGATAGTTAGTCCTAAAATGGGTTGGTGTCCAACGGCTAGTTTGCCGATTAGATCACACGGACTAGGAAGGCTTAGTTTTCATTATGGTAGCGACGGTTGATTGCTACTGATGACTTGGAATGCAAGGTGTTCGCTCTCCTTTAAAAGCTCCACCAAATAATAATAACAATAATATTTTCTGTGGGGCCTCGTAAGACGGTTATTGCCCAGGTTTTCGCCCTTCGCTTGTTGTACCACACCCATTCCGATTTCAGTTTAATCAGANAAGTCGCTGCAATTGGGATGGAATGAGAGTGTGACAGGTTTATGTTGGGAATCTTTAGGCCCTTGGCTGCCAACCCCTGTTCTCACTTGTACTTCAAAGTCGCTTCCTGGTCTGTATCTTTTGATAGGCAAATATTGCTTGTTATTTTTAGATTTTCGAACTTGGATTATCCATTCGATTGTTAAGAGATGTTACGGAAACGAAACAGCTATAACGTACGACGAAATTCGAATTGCGCTATAGACTCTACGAAGAATACACAGCTAACAGCAGGAAACCAACGCGTAAGGTAGGATGAATCAGCTAAGTGTAACCGCGGCAGCTAACAGTAAACGACGATCCTGTTAATTTAGTCTAAATGCACGGTCTGGGCAGAAAAGCAGCTTTGGGCAGTAGTAATAATGTTGAACGTGGTTCTATAAATAATAATAATATATAATAAATACAGTACCAAATATATAAAAAATAGGCACTCACGACTAGATTGACACGATGTTGATTTAACTAGCGCTTCAAGGTCAGAATGGAAAATCAACAATTATAAAGGACAGTAGTGCAGTTAAACAAAAATATAAAAAGATGGTAAGGATATAAATTTTAGGTTTCGTAAAGAGCGCAACCCGTTGGCATATAGTGTAGCGCAAAACTGGACAAGAGTTAAAGTTTGGATAACAAAGGATTCTCGAATCTTTTACAAGAGGCTCCAGGCACTCCTGATAGTCTTAGATATGGGTTTCACTCCTTGGGAGATCGTTAATTCCCCACAAGTTCATGCACTTACATGCGATGGATATGTTTGTGATAACCAACAAATAGCAATGGACAGCTGTTTCGTCCTGCTTGTTCAGTTCAGTTTGTACAACCATTAACCATGCACTTTCGTGCACCGGTTTTAGTTGCTGTCTTTTGGCTACCCATTTGGATGAACATTAGGAGAAAGACAGGAAACGTTAAAAGTAGGATAAAAGAGAAAATTTATAATTTTAGTGGACTAATGTTGCAGAGAAGTTGACAAGATGCACGAACGCCACTGTTTACGATATTCAGCCATATCACTCAGTGTCTCTAACCATCGGGTTTGATCGTCCCGTGTCCCCATCCAGGGAGCTTAACAGGGCCTATGTGACCTAGACTCAGGTTGAGGTTTTCATACCCTCATGTCTGGTCTTAGCTTGACCACTCATGCTATTCAGCAATGCATGTATAATTAAAGTTAAAAAGGCACTGTGAAAGGACTCTATTCATTATCTCGCCATGTCAAGCGGGAGCTGATCGGTGCACAAAAAAGACGCTTTCAGATGAAATTGTGGCTTCCCACACATTTATATCATCATCATCGTACAGCGAAATANAGAGAAGCGAACTTCACTGCTCGCTGCCAAACGCGCAATGCGTATGCATTGGGGGTTGTTGGATGGGTACTTCTAGATTGTCCAGCCACTAAGCAGGAAAACGATTAGGGTTCTCAACCAAAGCCTTTAGTTCTAACAAGAACCTAACCGCAAGTCTGTTTTTTCTACTGTTTTGCTTTCTTTTCAAATTATTCACTGAATCCTATTCTTTTCATTACTTCTCTATATGTCCCCGCTCCTCAACCTCTGAAACCGGTCAAAACGTTCCGTTAGACATGGGAGAATCCAACTGATGTCTCGGACAGTCTAAGTACTGCTTTGATCGAATCCATCGGATTGGTAACTGAAGCCAGCAAGTTTTGTTTGGAAGAAACTCACGCAATCTGCCTACCGCTGCTTCTTGATCTGATTCAAGTACGTCATTGGAGCATCTTTTAGCGTGTGTTGGTACATTATGTCGGTCTTCTGCTTACCAGTCATTGCGATCTTCCATCTCCCTGTCTTATTCGCCGTAAATCTTCCACTAACCGGAAGCAATCTTATTGTAATTGGTGAGAAGCATCGCCATCATCATTGTACAGCATAATACAGTGAAGTGAACTTCACTAATCGCTTCCAAACTCATAATGCATACAAGATAAGTGAGATTGTTTAAGGAGGATAGGAATTGGGCTATTTTTAAGGACGAGAAAATGAATCGCACCCGCTGAAGTTTATACGGAGTACACAGTCCAGATGTGCATACACACCATTTCAAGTATTCTGGACTGATAAGAAGTGACAGCGAGATCGCTGCTGCTGTCGCTTTGCTGCCGTGACCTTCAGTGTCTCGAACCATCCAGTCACGGATGGTTGGTTTTTCTTTATTACTTAATAATCGGACTCGCAATTGTAAACTCAGCCTTTCCTGTCGTATGCAAATATCCGAATATAATTGCTCTTACTGATGGAAGGAAATTAGGTTATAAAACCCCATTGACCTCGATAACTTCACCAAACGCTGCAACTCAATTTCCGCACTAAGCTCCTCATTTTATGTCTCCTTTTTTCATTGTTGACTGTGCATTGTTCTCTATTCGATGTCCCGTCTGATTTTGCAGACCTATTGGGAAGGTTTGATCACAAAATGGCTGGCCGCCATCGAACAGCTGGGCAAACAACTGGTCATTCCAGAGAACAATGCTGCGTATAATCAGGCCAGCTTTTTCGCGAGCGCTTTACAACTGGCAAGTATATCTGGTAAGTTCTTATACTAATGGATGCGTACAGTTGAGTGTGATTCAGGTTACCGGTACTACACCCCGTCTACTGCCGCATACCAATGGAGCTTGTGCGAGACACGGGTTTATTTTCGGCCTGTTTGTGGTTGCATCATCCTTCGATAAATTCTGGAATAAAAAACTTTCTTCTGTATATCCCATATTCTTGATCTGAAATAACGTATAATTCAATAGAACGTTGCACCTCGAAAAATGTTCCACCATTTCATTCCCCTTGTACTTATAACAGAAGCCGTATACACATCTTTTCACACATTCTGACTTGACAAGAAATAACAAAATGAATTCCACTGGTGTCTGTTCGTTGTTCTATCCTTCGGTCGCTCCAGCCAACTAGGTTGGTGGTGGTCAGTCGGTTTAAGTCACTATCACTGGCGTACTTCTGGCCCCAGGATAGGGGGTTCGAACCGCCCCACTGCCGCTCGACTTCGGTGTTAGTCAGCCTCGCTATCCTCCGACTCAATACGACACCTAAACTAGTGATGCCTTATTTGGTTCGCCATTTCAAGTCCCGGGGCTTGGATTGTCTGTTTCCATAATTGAACAGCAATTCTTCGTGACTATGGGGTTCACACTGTCTATTGTTCATTACACAGGAGTGTACAATAAAAAGCCATTCATTTTTTCGATCTCAACTTGGAAGACAAGAGATACCTACTCTATTGAATCGCTTCATGCATTTCTGCATGCCTCATTTCCAGGTCGCCTGGTAACATATACGTGATTTCTTTCAGTCAATAGTAATAACAACAAATAAGTGCGTCACAGAACGAATGAGCATTTGTAATACGTGTCCTAATCAGCAAAGTCTAATAATATGAATTCATTGTCATGACGAATTCTCCACCTAATTATCACCAAATACTTGTTGCCTTACCTCGGTGTTGCTTGCACGCTCCCATCGTTTCAGTTGCGCCAAACCGCGTGAACAGTAACAGTCAAAGACTCCTAGACTAACGTCTTTCACAACCGTAAGTCAGAACTGCCCGCATCACGGAACAGCATATGCGACCTTTCAGTTTCTAGGATATATCACCTCGTCACCAGAGGTGTCCTGCATATGCTGTTGTAACTTTCAAAATGTGGATGGTTACTTTGACTATGCTATCGTCATATGCCACTCAACTACATAGGTATAGTAAGCGATTCACTAAAACTAATTCCTTGCCATCCAGAATCAGAACAGGTATAGATGACAACCAGTGTTGCAGCGTCGCTTTGCACTTTGAAGGTACAGAGCCCATGCACATGTCACCGGAGAGACATCCTCGATGTGCAGTATTTGCCACGATGGTCGGTAGATGAAAGAATACCGATGACGCTTTTATTGTGTATAACTTTTGCAAGCACTGGAATTCATATTTCAGCTAACAAATCATACATGCCAAACCGTCACAAAGTACATAATCAACGGGGAGAAAATTTTTACAGACCTGACTGGAGGGACTGCAAACTACGACCATGAAATCCGGATATATAGGTTGCATCATAATTCCTGTTTTGGGTTCGAGCTCGCAACCAACCTGTATCGGAAATAGTGGTACTAGTGTATCCACTCACTATGTAGATCAGTCCCTTTCCCTATTTTTGTTACTTCTTCCAACTACTCTTTTCCCACTGATCAACCGACTGGTTAACCGAAAGTTTATTTTGAACTAGCCTACCCTCTCAAGGTATTGTTTGTGCGTGCATTTTATAGCTCCTCATTAATGATATTTCGAAGTTTGCCTTGAAAAGTTCCCTATATCTTTCAAACGTTTCTCTTTTTCAAGTGGTGTTTGTTATAACCACACGGAATCGTCCCGATACTGGACTCTTAAATGATCGCCTTTCGTTAACGTTTCTTGTCCAGATAACGATTTCATAGGTAGTAAAATCGAATACAACTGGAATCATGTAGAAATTCATTTATTGTGCAAAAGCATGATTATCTATAGGGAAGAGAGAAGACATTTAAATGCATACACACAATGATTGGTTGGCTCGTTTGTTGTCGACCTCCTGGATGGGTTGTCGCTTCGGACCAGACACCTGAGTTTGGCTATCCTTTTTCAAATTGATCGTTCCAGAACAAAGCAGTTTTCAAAGAGTACATTGATTCACTAACACAGTTCCCCGTGCCCATTTCATTTATGCTCCGTTTTTATTGAAATAATGGTGCAACCAAGGAAGCTGCAGGCGATAGAGAGTTGTTAGGAGGCAGATATCGATAAAAGAATGCAAAATATCAAATCTTCTAGACATTCCGCTAGATTCCAACGTAGATTCACAGCCGAAGCCTAATTCCCAAGGCAGCTGATTGGTATGTGAAAACCGCAGTCTCTTTGGGGTTCTCGGTCGGTCGGACGGATATTAAGCCCCTGGGACGTTGTTCACATGTTCAGGCCGCCTAAAACAATCGGGTGGGTAATACTGACGATCAGGAGGACATCCCAGATTCAGTTCCTTTGTATCTTCTTAGGAGGTCGGGAATCACAATCGTCAAAATCCCTTATGTAAGCTAGGAAATAGGACTTTCCTGGTCACTGTTTCAAAAAATATACCTCACGAGAACATTTTCTGAGAACCAGTAGACTATGGTGTGTAATGAAATTAATTAACCACTGTTCCTCGGGTGTACCACACTTGGGTGCAGCTAAATTCTTGCTACACTGCTTATTCTGAACCATTGCAACAAACCCTTCATTTCGATGGTTTGTAGCTGACTTCGTAATCAGACTTGTCATTATGCCTAGAACACTGAAGTGCTTGTAAACGGGGTGGATTGATTTTCACATTCGCGGCTTTTGTTCGGACTCTAACTTGATCATACCAGATTATCCCGCTAGGATATTTGGTCAGTTACGGGGTGACACCATGCGGTACACAATCACTTGTCATTAGACGTTGGCGGTTTTAGCTCAAGCGGAAGTGTATGTCCTTTGTGCCTCTTTCATTCTACTACGATGGCTGGTGGGAAATTTTAATAACTTCATTTGATTTTTGACGCAGTGTTTTCAATGGTATTTTTCAGCACGCTTGGAGTGAATCGAATTTCATGATCACACTATCTGATCATTCATCATTTTTTTTGTCATTTATAGATGGGGATTTTGCAGTCGTCAGTGAAGTTTCCTTCATTGTATTTCGGTCAATCTATGCGTCTATTCTTTTTCGTCTCATTAATTATAACCATTTCTTTGTATTTTCCTCCCCCCCTCCTGATTACGTATTCAAGGTGAACTGAGCTCGCGAGCAGATATGCTGGTGGAGAATTTGCTTCTCCAAAGCGCCGAGACTCTATCTGGTTTGCTTCAGACTAGACCTGCGTAAGTGCAAGGTTAACTATTCAATTGGTACAAAGACCTGTCTGATTTCTATGCTCTTTGTCTCTCTCTCTCTCTATTTTGCCGTAACCCCCCTTCTTCGGGATGCATTTTTCGAGTGCCGATAATATTAGTCTAATGTTATCAATATTTCAACGGTTATAGTTAGTGATTTGCTATTGTTCAGTTCTTGCTATTACTTAATCACTTGTGTGAACATCGAATCTCGTCATGTTCCCGGGCACACTTTCAAAATGTCAAAGGGATAACCAAATAAAATGGTCCCTGCAAAATTAATATTAGGTTGCCGAATATATGGGAATGCAAAATGGAATGAACACTTTTTGTGTGATTTCATTCTCAAGCACTCATAATCGTGTTTGTATTCGGCAATCACTAACTCAAGGATTTGGATGAAGCTAAATAATGCAATTTGATTGCGACAGAGAGGAGAGTGGAAGTGCAAGCTCGATATCAGTTAACAATGCACAGTCATTCCATTCGTGTTGAGAATCCTCTGTGGTACATAAGTAACGAACCCACGAGGGTTTGAATTCGATCGCGAGGAACTGTTGATCCGATGCGTCAGCCACTTGGTCTATCTTGGTCGACTCTCGGAGTTTACAGATAATGGTTTCCATTCAAATTGAAACTAGCCTGCATTCTAAGTCCGCCGCTGATAAATGATAGTGGGTGATGTCGGATGTGTTTTCAAGTGATATAGGGTCATCACAATCTGTCCATAATGATGTTCCACTTACATTGGTGGCTTTGTGATATAAAAAGCTACCTTTTACATATTGTTCGGAAAAAATAACAAATTTATGCGCTTATTAGATAGTTTAGTTCATTTCAGTTTGGACAGCCATTAACCATGCACTATCATGCACCGGTTTTGGTTGCTATCTTTTGGCTGCCCATTTAGATGAACATTAGGAGAAAGACAGGAAACGTTAAAAGTAGGATAAAAGAGAAAATTTATAATTTTAGTGGACTAATGTTGCAGAGAAGTTGACAAGATGCACGAACGCCACTGTTTACGATATTCAGCCATATCACTCAGTGTCTCTAACCATCGGGTATGATCATCCCAAGGTCCCCAACCAGGGAGCCTAACAGGACCTGTGACCTAGACTCAGGTTAAGGTTTTCATGTCCTCCTGCCAGGTTCTAGGTTGACCAACCTTATATGTTATTATATTTCAAACTTGTCTGGGGACAAACTATGTACCAGGCAAATCATGGTACAATATTCTGTATAAAAAAGAAAAAACGTTCCATGATTGGCTTGTGGTTTGAATAATATCAGGTTTCCCAGGCCAAGACAGATGAGTTTTCTTGAAGAATTCACCATCGGCTAGCCAAAGCCTAACCCGCAAGGCAGCGAGGCGGAGTGTGAAAACCGCAATTCATTGGGGAGCTGGTGTCCGTTTCACCGGATCATTCGCCCTTCGGACGGGGTCAAACGTCCGAGGCGCCCAATACACCTCAATGCCCGATCGAGCTGTTAACCACTGCCACAACCGAAAAGGTGTGGGTGTAGTTCGTACACCTCCTTTTTGGCCAACTCCCCTAGGTGAACTACCAGTGGACCACCAACGCGGTTATGTCGGCTTTTCGTCCTCTCATCAAAGTGAGAGGACGCCACGGGGAGGCAGTGAGTATGGCTTCTTCGGCAGAGGCTATTCGAGACGCTTAGTCGCATGGGAGCATTTCGCGAGGTGAAAGGGCAGAGTGGCCGGCCGCAACCCTAGACACCCACCCCCGACCATGCTGAGCCTTTTGGAGGCCTGTTGACCACCCTTGGCTTTCTTCCACCCACTACCTGCATCGGCGAACATCGCTCGCCGTGGCAACCTATCTGGTGATATACGTAACACATGCCCCAAGCACCGCAACCTATGGAGATCCACCATTTGCTGCAGTGGGCGACCGAGTTTACCTTGAACTGTGCGCCTAACCTCAGCATTGCTCGCCCGGCTGCCCCACCAGATTCGTGCAATGCTGCGTGGACAGCGGTGTTCAAACACCGACAGTCTGTTCTTATCTTGTTTTCTTAATGATCAAGTTTCTGCACCGTATAGCAGAACTGGCCGAACTGTCGCGACGGCACCACAGATGTCTCAAGTCAGCAAATGCCAACCGAGCCTTCAGTATGCGAGCTGACACTTCATCCATGATGCGTCCACCGGGTGAGATATAGCTGCCCAACTAACAAAACTTATCCACCTGCTCTATTACTTCTCCAGCTAAAGTGAGACTGGGTGCTGGACCAACCCAGTCTTGTAGTAGCATTTTACACTTTGAAGGTGCAAAATGCATACCGAACATGGTTACACTGGCATTCAACTTATCCAGAGATGCTTGCAACTTACCTGTATCTTCACTTAGTAGCACAATGTCGTCTGCGTACTCCAAATCAGACAGCCTGCCACCTGGGAGTAAATCGATGCCATTATCCTCGCACGAGGATAGGGCTGTTTCCATAATCAAATCTATAACAAAGTTAAATAGAAACGGAGAGGGAGGACAACCCTGACGAACACCACTTTCCGTGGTGAACTTAGGTGAAAAAGTGCCGTAAGCCCGGACTCGACTTCGGCTATTAGTATAAAGCGATCGTAATATTGCGATTAACTTCTCGGGCACACTTTTCAGGGGTAGGTAGAGCTAATTGGATATATCAGATACAAGCGTGAGCTGCAGCTCTGGGTTGGAATATGCGAAGGGGAAAGCTTAGTTTGCGTCTATTGACATTTTCAATAGATGTTCAACCCGAGTTGCTCGTCAAAGACTTAATATATTTCTGACCGACACTGTTTACAATCACTCAATCTTCTTTTTCTTTATGTTAGGTGAGTCCAGGAGACAATCAATGTTATCTGTGATTAATCCAAGTAGCTTCTTAGAAAACATTCTACAGTTACATCTTTCCTATCGCAGAGGGTTTTCACAGTCTTAAATTGGATCCTAGATGGCCTCTTTACGCCCAAGCAGTTCATCCGGGCGAGATTCATAGATGCTAAAATCATCTTGCTCGGCAGCTATCCCTTCAGTATATGGGAGCATTAATGGTTTGCTCGAAAGCGGTATGGTGGTCTGAACAGCAATAGGTAAACTGGAGTAATTCACAGTGTTTATTGATATTCCAACCTTTGTCTTCCTTACCCAGCCTTCTGCATTTGCCTCTTCTTCCAACCTGTAATAGTTCTTCTCAAGCAACTTGGATGTCGCTATAAAATAGCACTGTAAGTAATTTACCACGAAGTGAATTGCAGATTCTAAAGCCTGGTCAATCCCTGAATCTTGAGGCTTTCAACGCTAGGATTCTGATGCAGGTAGGTTAACAAGCTTGCCTGGCGCGTACAGTAGAATCTTCAGGGATCGATATTTGCTGTGTGGTGGAGGCTTGAGTTCAGGATCCCACTACTATAAGCAACGTGAGCGCGCAAGATTTATCCTCGAGGTACGTTCTTCGCACATCAGGTGACGATGAATCCCGTTAAATAGGTCAGCGCTGGTTAGCTTTAATACTCAGTGATAGGGTTGAGTCCTCTCTTATCAATTGGATTCCCATCAACAGTCGTTTATGTGCAGTGCGTCTCCAGGGTCCAATCAGCGTCCGGAAGGGAAGCGACACGAAAAGGTGATTGTTCATCGTATCAGCATGTGCACCGACCAATTGCAGTTCTGATACCCAAAAGGACGCTTTCTACGATGAACTCACTGATCACATTCGGATGAGTCNATTTGTCGACGAGATACGTTAGGAGACGATGAAGCTCGTCAGTAGGGAAGCAACACTAAAAGGTTTGTTTATCGTATCAGCATGTGCACCGACCAATTGCAGTTCTGATACCCAAAAGGACGCTTTCTACGATGAACTCACTGATCACATTCGGATGAGTCTAAGCTCCGACATAGTTGTACTTGCAGGTGACTTCAACGCGCAGGTTGGAGAACTGAGCGCATCAGAAGCTTGTCTAGGCGGTAGTTGTGCTCTGCCCTGCCAACGAACACATTACGGCGATCGACTTCTTCAATTCTGCGCGACCATCATCTGTTACTATTTAGTACAAAATTCCGCCACAGCACTCGACGGACGGCAACGTGGCGCTTCAGTTCTACTGGTATGCTAACTCAATCGACCACAGAAGTAAGCTACCGTTGGCATAACACATTACAAAATTGCGGGTCCGATTGGACTACCTGCGTTGAGTTCGATCACGCATTAGTTTTGATGCAGTTCACTCTCCGACTGACTGGCCGGTGACAAAGCCATCAAACTCGGATAGCTCATCAGAAACTATCTGCTCCATCCGTTCGCGCACGCTATGAATCGGAGCTCGTGAGCTAAGCTCGCCTCAACGTGATGATGTAGATGAGCAGTGGGATCAGATTAGACGAACAATGCATTCCGCAGCGAATGTTGCTTGCGGGTCTGAGCCTCAAGCCCGTCGGAGGCATTAGATATCTCAGGATTCAGTAGTTTTGATGGATAAAAAATGACAAATCCCGACCTGCCAGGATCAAAACAGTTAAGGGGTATCTGCAATGTCAGCTCACGAATAGCCTAAATGAGGATTGGTAAAACTGGTGGGCAACAATAGCTGGTGAAACGGAATCAGCAGTTACATCAGGGAATAGTCAAAGACTGTTCCGACTGATATGTAATATGGGAGGTCGGCGAACTGCAGTTAGTGAAACAGGCTGCGATAAGAGGGTACCAGCTATTCACAATAGGGAGGAACGACTTGATCGCTGGGCGGAATACTTCAGGGAACAGTTTAGCTGGTCTGGTGCTAACCAGATTGCTTCATCTGCAACCGAAGCTCCATGGGCGGTGTCATGCGATTCCCCAGCAGAAGCATGGGTTCGGTCTTGGACTCAAGGTCTGAAGTGAGGAAAGGCAGCAGGACCGGATGCGCTCCTTCCCACTCTTCAAGATTGGGCAATAACCTTCAAAGCTCGATCACTAATTTACTGCATATTTGGTTGTAAGAGCGCATTCCTTCACCTTAAGGCGAATCACTGATCGTTCTCATTTTCAAGTAGAGATCTCGCAATAAATGCAGGAACCAACGCGAGATAAGTTTGATCCTAATCGCTATCAAAGTATTAGCCTCGGTTATACTTCGGCGTCTGACTCCTTTGAGAGAAAACAACAGCCGTGAACAACAAGCTGGATTCCGGCCTGGCCGTGGATGTATGGGTTTCTATAAAGCTGATCTACGTCAATGGCTACTGAGCAACTGGGTGTCGCCGTTGTTTTTGTATTTTATAATGCACCGGTTCATCGGAGAGCCTTGGATGCGCAGTTATATGCCAACCACCAAATTCGATTTATGTCACCATACAGTATCCTTTTTAGCCCACTGGAAGAGGCCTTCAGTAAATTCAAACAGATGAGCGTTTTTAATCATTTAGTTCGCCTATTATTTAACACATTAAAAAATGGTTCACCGAAAACACCGAGGCCATTCGAGATGTGCCAAATGGTTTGGCAATACGGGCACATCGTTTAAACCCACTCCAATCAACACGTGGTATGGCATTTGATACCATTACTACAGTCAACTACGCAGCGTACGATCGCCACACTTCATCTCCTATCCAAGCTTTGCAACATCAAAATTTGTAGCAAATATATCTTTTTCAACCTTGGTTGACCTCAGAATATTTCGACACTTTTTGATCTGACTCGCCTACAGCGGCAAGACTGAACTCTGTGCGTCCAGGCTAAAGGACTACCGGTCGTGGCTAAAGGATTGTTGATTTTGGCTAAAACATTTCGGGTCGAGGCTAAAGGGTTTTGGCTAAAGCTTGGTGGGTAAAGCTTTAGTGTGAGAATCGTACCGTCGCTCTTTTGTTTTTGAACCTCGCCTCCTTAAGCCCTTTAATTTAATTCTGAAATGTATGCTCAGTGTTTTCCTATGAAGCTGCTTGAACTTGTTATATCCCTTATAATATCCTGGT